AAGCATGCTTAGTGTGAGGGATTGCTGAAGAGTCAATGAGTCGATGCAATCAGCTGGTTTTCCTTAGATAGAAAACTTTGAATCAGTTTGACTCGATGATCTGGTGAACTGGAAAGTGACCTGAGATGACATGAGTTTGAATTAGCGCTATAGAAATAAATTGAATTGAATCTATAATAAAAACAATAACACAACTTTGTCATATTTTAATGGAAATGTAACTGATCATGCTCTCCCTTTTCTTTTTCCATAACATAAGATCCAAATAAATTCCACTGATGTTTTAGGATGACAGATTCCACATAAACTTCTGGACTGGATGTTTTTTTTTCTATCATCTGCTGTAAATTAAATGAACCAAAAAAAGGTTTCGCTCATAAAAATGCATCATTGCCATTGTAGAGGAAAAACAGTTTATATATGCAATTCAAAGGGTTAAGAGCCAAGTCAAATTTGCTGTCAGGCTTTAATGTGTCAGTATGGTTACAGAAAATTAAATCTTATCTCCAACATTGATTGAGGGAAAAAGAGTTCATTGCAGCTTGGTGGAGAACAAATGGATCAGCAGGGGAGTCATTGGTGGAGTTCCTCTAAAAGTATCTGAAAAAGAGATTCTAGAAAACATAAGTGGTGCAAAAGTAAAAGAAGTGAAACTGTTAAAAACAACAAGAAATGGAGAAAGATCTCACAGCTTATCTGTGCCAATTAAATTCGAAAAAGAGCAGTTACCCAGCAAAGTTTTAATTGGTTACATGAGCTACAATGTAGAATTTTACAATCCTCTGCCTCTGAGATGTTTTAAATGCCAAAAACAAAAAATCAGACACATAGCAGCAGTATGTAAAGAAAAACAGCGATGTGGAAGGTGTGCAGGAGAGTATGAATATAGAAAATGTGAGAAAGAAGCTAAAATCAAATGCTGTAACTGTGGTGGAGAACAGACTGCTGCATATCGCGGCTGTGAAGTGAGCAAAAGATCTGAAGAGATTAGAAAAGGGAAATCTGAGTTCAGAATAAATTACGCTGAAGCTGCAAAAAGGATCCCATCCCAGTCAGAAAAACCCAAACCAACATTTCAGCAAATTACAAATTGAAAACCTCTGGAGCAGCGTCCCAAAATTGAAGATTCATTGATTGTAAAAAAGAAAGATTTTGTTCTTTTCATGGTAGTAGTGATCTATTATAGTGCTCAGATGACAAGGAAAACTGAAATAATCAAAATAATAGTGAAAGCTGCAGAAAAGCTATCTGGAAGTTAAAGATTTAAACTGGGAAATGGTTAAAACATGATGGGAAAACCAGTAGGACCATCAGAAAATGGCAGAGTGACGATAACTTAAAGATAAATGAGAAATTATGAGGGCTAATGTGATTAAGTATTTATTATTTTGGGTTAAGATAAACAGTTCAGAAAATATTATTTAGTTTTTTTTATTATTATTATTTTTTATTTACTTTTTTTTCTGGAGTGTCGTTTCCTGTTTCCTTGTTTTACTCCTTATCAGTTGGTGGCGGTAATCCACTTTACACTCACGAGAAGAAGATAAGCCCCCCCCCTGTTTAATGGCCGCGGCCTCCTCCGGGTTCGGACCGCCCCTGCTGAGGACACTGCCGCGCGCGCTCCCGCGAGCTGCTCGCGACAGATCTCAGCGAGGGAGGCGCCAAATAGGAAGAATATTAAAGCTTGTGAATGAAAGCAGCTTTTCAAGCAGTCAGAACATCACCGTCCGCCCGATGAGGCGGTGACCCGGCGGCAGTTTCTCCTCCAGACGGACCGAACACGTCGCTTCCCGCTCGGGACAAAGTTGGTGGTAAGAGGCTCCTAGCGGCGTTAGCCCGCCGCTGCTAACGTCACCGAACAGCCGAACTTTAGCCAAGTTTTACTTTACGGAAAGTTGTCTAAGCTTAGTTCCTGACCGCCCGTGTTTGTTTGGATCGGAGGCGCGGCTGCAGAGAGCTGGTTGGGCCGCTTCGCTGTCAGGTGGATGGCTGGATGGGAGCAAAGGTTGTCATGGGAGCAGAGCTGGGGGGGGGGGGGGGGGGGGGGCAGAAATATCCTCAAAAATCTGCCTTCATCAAACCACTTAATCTGGAATAATCCTCCCATTTTTATTGGAAATTTAATCCATAAAGCTTTGCTGTTGTGCAGCTTTATAAAGCATCTATGACTCATGAAGATAGAAATATGCAAACTTTAAGATGAAAGCTTTGGGCAGGGGCGGATTCAGGAAATGTGGGGCCCTAGGCAAAGACAGGCAGGGGGCCATCTGAACCGAGAAGACAGCCGGTTGATCGTAAAGCCGTAAGAAAATGCAAATTTCAACAAAAGTGGCTGGAAAACGAGGAATCCGGGACATGGCTGCAGCCTGTCGACGGTAAAAATGACAAAGGATTTTGCCGTTTTTATAGATATTAGGGATGGAACGGTAGCCGGGTGTAGCAGAAAAAAATCAGTTGTTGTGGAGAATTGTGTGGGTATGGCGAGTGGGAAAGAACAGGAGTTGGAAGACGCGCCAGCAGCACTTTATAGGTCTGCTGTATGGGACCACTTTGCATTTAG